CACGTGTCGTCAATCCTGACGACAAGGCCACATCATGTTCAATGACACACTCGATGACTTTCTCAGTTCTCACATCGCTTGTCATCACTCTCGTCACCACTTCTTCGCCTGCTACCGCTACTGCTACTGCGCCTGCGCCTGCACCGGCTTCTTCAACACCTCCAATCCTCACACTCTCTGCTGCCTCCAGTCTTCCACGTAGTTCCACCAACTCTCTAAGCGCAGTGTCACGTTCACTCGTCACTTGCTCTATGTGCAACTCCCAGTCTCGACTGGCTATTGCAACCGCTGTCTTACAATTCTCTTCTATCGACTTCTCAAGTCGCTGCACTTCAGCCTGTAATGCACAACACTCCTCGCTCGAAACAGCCAGTCGTCTCTCCAACTCTGACAGCGCGCTCACTTTCTCCTGTCTATAAGCCTCGAGTTCATCGCGTGCCGATGACGCTTGCTCAACTGCTTCACGCAAAGCTACCTGCATCGATGATATCTCCGACGCTTGCTTATCACACAATTCGCGGTACTTGCACAGATCCTCTGACAGCTCACGGTTCGAATCGCACAGTCTTCTCATTTCGCTCACAGAAGCATCCAACTCCTCTGGCCAATCACTCGTTCCACAATCACGGTCCACACGTTCAACCACACCACCATCATCCAATGACGATGATACCGCTGATAGCGCTGTCCCAACAGCTTCAATGCACTCACCAACTCGTTCTTCGTGTTCTCTACACCAATCTCCATAGTCGGTGCGCAAGTCTCTCAGCTCATTCACAACTAGTGGCACAAGTGCCTTCGCTCGACTCACATCATTCTCCAGATCAGTAGTCACCCTTGTGTACTTCTCTACACGATGCTTTAACAACTCACACTCACGCGTCAACGCTGCATTCACTGATTCACATCCTCTCATTTTCTCAACTACTGTCTCCAACTCCGATGATCGTGTGTCCAGTGCACGCTGCAAATCTCTACACAGCTCGTCCAATGCGTTATATTCGGATAGTGAGGGTTTCGACGGTTCATCGGCGTCTTGCACCTCTCGTGTTGGATGATCGGCAGCTGAATCCAAGCAAACTGCAGCCCGTTCATATTCAATCAGTTTGTTCGCCATGTCGGCTCGATCGGCGTTCGCTTCCGTATGTGCTGCACGCAAATCTCTCACCTGACTCAACAGGGAGCCCAGTGATCCTCTAATCTCATTCATCTCCATGCACACATCGTCCAACAGCATTGTGCGTTCTGATACACTGTTTCGCAACAAGTCCACCTCTCTCTTCAGATCCTCATTGTGTTTCGACAAGGCGACAGCCTCTTCAACCTCCTTTGACAAACTCTCACCCACACTCGTCGACTTGTCGTCACACACAACGACACCTTCCAGCTCACATACACGCACACTCAGCTCTGCCTTGGCATTCTCAAGTTCACTGATTCTGTTCATCGCATCCCTCAGTCTCTCTCTCAGACTGTCTGTACTCAACACGTCGAGTTCTGCGTCCTCACTCACTGGTCTTGTCTCACTCTGAATCACACGAACAGGTGAGATCAATTCCTCGTCTGCAACGCCCACAACACTTGAGTCAGTAGTCTGTGGCTGCAGTCGATCCGGAACAATGTCTCCTGCTGTGTCACACACGACAGTCTCTACTAACGCCCTATCCGGAAGACCAGACAAAACAGCAGCTTCCACTTCAACTCGATAGTCAACTCGCGTCAACTCATCAACAGTCACATCAGGCGTTCTCGTCAAACCTTCACAAGGTATGGATCGACTCGCCTCCACCGCCGCAACGCGTGATTCCAACTTCTGCACTTCATCACGTTTCCTGTCCAACTCACACTGGGAAAGCTCGAGAGCTGTGGACATCGTCAATTGTTCACTACGCAGACGAGACACCTCCAGCTGCAGCTTCGACACCAAGTCGAAGACATCCTCCACCTCCGTTTGCACACACACTTCCTCTCCAACAACAACAACACCATCTGACACACCACTCTCAATATCCCGCCGCCTCGTCACCACCTCCATCTCCTTCTCCAACGCAGCAACATTCGCACGAAGCATCTCCAAATCGCGTCGTTCTGCACACAGTGTCTCATGACCCTCACTCACCTCCACCGACAAACGACGCTTCTCCTCCTCCAGTTCAGCTACCTCTCTCTCCTTCACACTCAACAAATGACGCACATCTCTCAACGAGTCACCGCTCTCCTCCACACATCTAGATAGCGTCGCTATCTGGTCATAGCAGAAGGCCAACTCTGCACGTAGCTCGTCCATCGACTTACGCGATTCCTCCTCCTCTGCAGCCGCCGCCTCCATTTCAACACCAGCACCAGCACCAACACCGGCTGACTCTGATTTTGACAAACTCTCATCACCACTGATCAACGACAACTCACTAACCACCACCTGAGTGCCTGCATCCACAAATACAACACTACTCGGTACACTCGCCGGCGACTTGTCCTCATCACCAGTACCGCTCCACTCCAACTTGTAGTCGCTCCAACCGTCCACTACCGTTCCGCCAATCAATTCGTCGTCCTCAACATCATGACCAACTCCCACGCTCACAGTCTCTCTCCACTCACGTGTCGTCAATCCTGACGACAAGGCCACATCATGTTCAATGACACACTCGATGACTTTCTCAGTTCTCACATCGCTTGTCATCACTCTCGTCACCACTTCTTCGCCTGCTACCGCTACTGCTACTGCGCCTGCGCCTGCACCGGCTTCTTCAACACCTCCAATCCTCACACTCTCTGCTGCCTCCAGTCTTCCACGTAGTTCCACCAACTCTCTAAGCGCAGTGTCACGTTCACTCGTCACTTGCTCTATGTGCAACTCCCAGTCTCGACTGGCTATTGCAACCGCTGTCTTACAATTCTCTTCTATCGACTTCTCAAGTCGCTGCACTTCAGCCTGTAATGCACAACACTCCTCGCTCGAAACAGCCAGACGTCTCTCCAACTCTGACAGCGCGCTCACTTTCTCCTGTCTATAAGCCTCGAGTTCATCGCGTGCCGATGACGCTTGCTCAACTGCTTCACGCAAAGCTACCTGCATCGATGATATCTCCGACGCTTGCTTATCACACAATTCGCGGTACTTGCACAGATCCTCTGACAGCTCACGGTTCGAATCGCACAGTCTTCTCATTTCGCTCACAGAAGCATCCAACTCCTCTGGCCAATCACTCGTTCCACAATCACGGTCCACACGTTCAACCACACCACCATCATCCAATGACGATGATACCGCTGATAGCGCTGTCCCAACAGCTTCAATGCACTCACCAACTCGTTCTTCGTGTTCTCTACACCAATCTCCATAGTCGGTGCGCAAGTCTCTCAGCTCATTCACAACTAGTGGCACAAGTGCCTTCGCTCGACTCACATCATTCTCCAGATCAGTAGTCACCCTTGTGTACTTCTCTACACGATGCTTTAACAACTCACACTCACGCGTCAACGCTGCATTCACTGATTCACATCCTCTCATTTTCTCAACTACTGTCTCCAACTCCGATGATCGTGTGTCCAGTGCACGCTGCAAATCTCTACACAGCTCGTCCAATGCGTTATATTCGGATAGTGAGGGTTTCGACGGTTCATCGGCGTCTTGCACCTCTCGTGTTGGATGATCGGCAGCTGAATCCAAGCAAACTGCAGCCCGTTCATATTCAATCAGTTTGTTCGCCATGTCGGCTCGATCGGCGTTCGCTTCCGTATGTGCTGCACGCAAATCTCTCACCTGACTCAACAGGGAGCCCAGTGATCCTCTAATCTCATTCATCTCCATGCACACATCGTCCAACAGCATTGTGCGTTCTGATACACTGTTTCGCAACAAGTCCACCTCTCTCTTCAGATCCTCATTGTGTTTCGACAAGGCGACAGCCTCTTCAACCTCCTTTGACAAACTCTCACCCACACTCGTCGACTTGTCGTCACACACAACGACACCTTCCAGCTCACATACACGCACACTCAGCTCTGCCTTGGCATTCTCAAGTTCACTGATTCTGTTCATCGCATCCCTCAGTCTCTCTCTCAGACTGTCTGTACTCAACACGTCGAGTTCTGCGTCCTCACTCACTGGTCTTGTCTCACTCTGAATCACACGAACAGGTGAGATCAATTCCTCGTCTGCAACGCCCACAACACTTGAGTCAGTAGTCTGTGGCTGCAGTCGATCCTTGAGAATATCTGGTTTGGTTTCTGTCGCATTTATCTGGATGGCATTTGGTGATTTAATCGGTGTTTGGTAGCTTCCTTGATCGATTGGTTTTTCATTCGCTGAGTTTTTGTTTATTATGACTTCTTTTGAGATTATCTTTTCTTTTGTTATGGTTTTTGTTTTGTATATATTTATTTCCGTTATAGTTTCAAGGTTGTTTGTGGTCTCCGTGTGTGTTTGATGGCTTGGTGTTGTTTCGGTTGTCTGACTTTCTTCATGCTGTGATTGTCCTGTAGATTTTGCACTGTTGTCTTGAGTGTCGTGGGAATGATATGATTCTTCACTTTGATTGGTATCTAACTGCTCGTTAATTATTGTTGGTTGTAGGTACATACTGTCGGTGATTGTTGAATCGTTTCGGGTTACAGGGAATGGTAAGTTTGTTAATTTGTCATTAACAGGTTTATTTTCTTCTAATGAGGCTATTTCACTCCATATTTGGGATGTTTCAGACATTGTAGATGCATATACAGCAGTTTCATCCGCTTTCGTTTCGCTCCATTGTCTTGCTGCCGACACGATGTCACTTTGCTGTATTTCCGCCTGAATTTCAATTCTGTGATGTTCATCTCCTTCAGCTAATGGATTAAATATCTGTGATGGTTGTACCACATTGGTGAAGTCCATCAAGTCTGAAGTATGTGTTATCCCTTCGTCGTCTATACTACTTAATTCTTTGGATATGTATTCTGTAGGCTTAATGTAGAATTGACTTTCATTGTTATCTGGTTCAAGCGTAGGCACTGATGTCTTAGTGTCTTCAAGCACAGACGTCTTATATGCTTTTTTAGGATGAGCTGAAGAATGGAGCTTTGAATCGCTGATAATGACTCTTGTAGGAAGTCGAGGTGGCGGTGGTATGAGTGAATTGATGAGCATTTTTTCATCTTGAAGATGGGTGTCTGCTTCTGTTGGTTGACAGGGTAATTCTGGCATTGAGGCTTTCTGATATGTGTCTCCCAATGCATCCAAAGTGACAGTATTATTCGCTACTGCTACTGAAGGGGTGAATAACATTTCAGATAGATTGTCTGTCTCATCAAAAATATCTTGAGCAGGTGCTCGTTGTAATGTTAACAACATTTCAGGGACTGATGATTTAAGCTGCTGACTGGACGAAGTATCCCGTTCTAAACACAGATCACTCTTCACTCCATCATCAGTCAATTGATCAAGTGTGATGGCCTTAGATTCAAGGAAAACTTGATTACTTGACGTCATACTTAGATCTTTCGGTAGATGTATAAGATCAATTTCATCTGTGGGAGATTCTCCAAAGACATTTAGGTTTCCGGTATCCTCGATATCCCATTCAGTAGGCGATCTGAGAACAAGATTAGAAGGTTCTCCGGTATCTGTCTTTATTAGTGAAAATGAGTATTCTTTAGAAATTTCAATAATAGGGTGCGTAGAAAAGTGCCTAACAGGTGGTGGGATAGTAGCTTCAATGGTTTCACACTTATACGAGGGAACTGAAGAGATATACGAAGATGTGGAGACAACTGAAAGTGAATCACGATGCGTGACAAGATCACTAGACAGAGAAGAAACAACAGTCGACGGAACAATTGGAGGCATTTCAAATGAGGGGAGTGAAGAAACAACATCGCTAGCAGCAGGAAGCATTTGATATTCACAAGGAAGTGAGAAACAGCTCTGAGACTCAATTATAGAAGGTACATTTCGCATAGACGTCCAAGAATCTGACGTAAGTTTACTTGCTTGAAGTGAAACAGACGTCGAAGGGTAGACGAAAGACGATGATTCATCAATAAAGATAGCCGGTGGAGCAGAAACAACCGCTGGAAAAGATTCCACAACAGGAAGCCTTTCACATACCTCCATGGAACTTGTAATACTCCATCGCTCACTACGCAGACGAGACACCTCCAGCTGCAGCTTCGACACCAAGTCGAAGACATCCTCCACCTCCGTTTGCACACACACTTCCTCTCCAACAACAACAACACCATCTGACACACCACTCTCAATATCCCGCCGCCTCGTCATAACCTCCATCTCCTTCTCCAACGCAGCAACATTCGCACGAAGCATCTCCAAATCGCGTCGTTCTGCACACAGTGTCTCATGACCCTCACTCACCTCCACCGACAAACGACGCTTCTCCTCCTCCAGTTCAGCTACCTCTCTCTCCTTCACACTCAACAAATGACGCACATCTCTCAACGAGTCACCGCTCTCCTCCACACATCTAGATAGCGTCGCTATCTGGTCATAGCAGAAGGCCAACTCTGCACGTAGCTCGTCCACCGACTTACGTGATTCCTCCTCTGCAGCCGCCGACGCCACCGCCACCTCCGTCTCAACACCAGTCGCATCTCCAACATCCACACCAACAGACAAGTCAACACCAGCACCAACACCAGCTGACTCTGATTTTGACAAACTCTCATCACCACTGATCAACGACAACTCACTAACCACCACCTGAGTGCCTGCATCCACAAATACAACACTACTCGGTACACTCGCCGGCGACTTGTCCTCATCACCAGTACCGCTCCACTCCAACTTGTAGTCGCTCCAACCGTCCACTACCGTTCCGCCAATCAATTCGTCGTCCTCAACATCATGACCAACTCCCACGCTCACAGTCTCTCTCCACTCACGTGTCGTCAATCCTGACGACAAGGCCACATCATGTTCAATGACACACTCGATGACTTTCTCAGTTCTCACATCGCTTGTCATCACTCTCGTCACCACTTCTTCGCCTGCTACTGCTACTGCTACTGAGCCTGCTCCTGCACCTGCTTCTTCAACACCTCCAATCCTCACACTCTCTGCTGCCTCCAGTCTTCCACGTAGTTCCACCAACTCTCTAAGCGCAGTGTCACGTTCACTCGTCACTTGCTCTATGTGCAACTCCCAGTCTCGACTGGCTATTGCAACCGCTGTCTTACAATTCTCTTCTATCGACTTCTCAAGTCGCTGCACTTCAGCCTGTAATGCACAACACTCCTCGCTCGAAACAGCCAGTCGTCTCTCCAACTCTGACAGCGCGCTCACTTTCTCCTGTCTATAAGCCTCGAGTTCATCGCGTGCCGATGACGCTTGCTCAACTGCTTCACGCAAAGCTACCTGCATCGATGATATCTCCGACGCTTGCTTATCACACAATTCTCGGTACTTACACAGATCCTCTGACAGCTCACGGTTCGAATCGCACAGTCTTCTCATTTCGCTCACAGAAGCATCCAACTCCTCTGGCCAATCACTCGTTCCACAATCACGGTCCACACGTTCAACCACACCACCATCATCCAATGACGATGATACCGCTGATAGCGCTGTCCCAACAGCTTCAATGCACTCACCAACTCGTTCTTCGTGTTCTCTACACCAATCTCCATAGTCGGTGCGCAAGTCTCTCAGCTCATTCACAACTAGTGGCACAAGTGCCTTCGCTCGACTCACATCATTCTCCAGATCAGTAGTCACCCTTGTGTACTTCTCTACACGATGCTTTAACAACTCACACTCACGCGTCAACGCTGCATTCACTGATTCACATCCTCTCATTTTCTCAACTACTGTCTCCAACTCCGATGATCGTGTGTCCAGTGCACGCTGCAAATCTCTACACAGCTCGTCCAATGCGTTATATTCGGATAGTGACGGTTTCGATGGTTGATGCACATCTGTTACTTCTGTTCCCTCGATTTGAGTAGGGGATGTCATGATAGGCGTTACTTGTTCGGTTTCGATGAATTGGTCGGTAATATCGTCTGTTTGAATACTGTCTTTTACAGGTTCGGGGGTCATATATGTTTGAGTGTATTGCCACTGTTGAGCAATCTCATCTGAGGGATATACTTGTTTCATTGAGTCATTTTGAATTGCTATTAGTCTCTCATTCAATTGTTGTATATCATTGGCTTGTTGGCTGATAATATTACAGTGGTTCGCTTTATCATTGAGCAACTTATCAACGAGTCTTTGACATCTAATCAATTCTTCATAAATTATATTTATGGCATGTCCCAATCTCTCAGTGAATTCACTTTGACTCACATTGACACTTTCTGTCTTATCATCATCTAGTAATTTATCGATTTCTTGACTGAATGGATATTGATCTTGTTCAGTATCCACGGGAAAGCTTCTCTGCTGATTCCTTGACTGCTCTTGTTGTTGTTGTTGCTGTTGCAAGAGTAGTTGATGTAATTCACTAATACGATGTAATGATTCATTCAATGTATATAATTGATAATCGGATTCATTATATTGATTTTCTACTTGACTAGGCTGATAACTGAACGGTAGACGACAGTTTGTCTTATGTTCATGTAAAATTTGATTCACATAATCAACATATGCTTTAAACATATATCTCCTCATATGAGAACTATTCTCACAATCTACTAAATCTATCATCTCTTTCAAATCGGTTAATTGATTTTCTGAAATCGATAACTTCAGCAGATTTTCAATATCTTGTAGATTAGCTTTCAAAACGCGCGATTCTTCTTCAGTTTTAGATAACTGATTTTGTATATTCTCATATTGCAGTTTTAATTCAGTTAATTCTTTGAGATAAGCATCATTTGTGGATAGGTCAGGCTCAGTGGACCACCAATTCTGATTGTTGACAACTACGACAACGCCTTCTTCTCGTGTTTCGTCTTTACCTTCTAATGTGTTTCGTATGCCCGGTGTCTCATCAGTAGTTCTGGTTTGTTCGCTATATCGATTAAACATTAACTTAACACAATCTAATTGATTAGATATTAATTGATTAAAGCTATGAAATTGATTAATTAATTGTAAATGAGAATATTTCAATGAGTTTAACTTTCCTTGTAACTCACGTATAACACTTGTATTGACCAGGATCATTTCAACACGATTATGCAATGGTGTTATCTAGAGGAGAAATTTTTCAGAAAAAAATCAAAGGGATATATATTAGTTACCAAGCTGATTGAGTTTCCAAGGCTGTACTAAAACACAAAAGTACAGGAGTACAAAGTTACTGCACTCTCTCTCCATATATATCGAACAAATGCAGAATAAAATGAAACGACTGACCTATGATTAAGGGGGAAATTTACGGAATAGTGCGGAACTGCGCCACAATGAAGACGACTTTCAGCCATAGCACGAACAGTCTTCATACCCTGGTTCTTAGTGTCTCGATAGACCCACAGCCAGGTTATTATTATTATTTCCTTTAATTCCTAGAGGAACATGGGGCTTCAGCCGCGAACGTCGCCATTGCGTTCGGTTCTCTGCTAGAGTCTTCACCTGGCTCCAAGTTTGCCCACATGCTTTCATCTCCTCTTCACATGATCTCCTCCTCCAAGTCACCCTTGCACTGACGACCAACTCGCCGCTTCCCTTTCGGCCGGGTTCCACTCGAGCAATGGCTTGTCTAGTGATGTCACTTGATGCATTGTTTCCTTAGAGTATGGCCAATTCACCTAACTCCATTTCTTCGTGCAGATTTGTTGCACAATTGATCCCTGCTGAGTAGATGGTTCGCTTCCAGAGATCTCTGTTGCTCATCTTTTCTGACCGGCCATCTGATCTTGAGTAGTATTGAGCGAAGACAGCTATTGATGAAGGTCTGTAGGTTGTTCGAAGTGCTCTTCATGATGCGGCACCAAGTGTCTGATCCGTATATAGCAGCACTGACATCAAACTGGAGTTGAAAATTCAGATCTTATTTTAATGCTGAGTGCTGTTGATCTCCTCCACACAGATTTGAGAGTAATGAAAGTTTGACTTGCTTTCCCGAGCCTCGCTACTTTGATATCCTCGTCAGTTCCGCCGGTCTGTAGTTGAAACGATGCTTCCCAGGTAGGTAAAAGAGGTTGTTTCTTTCAGATTCCTTCCATTTATGCTGATCGTTGTCTGTTGTTGTTGTTCATGTCCAGGAATCTTCATCACCTTTGTTTTCTCTATGTTCACCTGAAGTCCTATCTTTGATGCTTCTTTTGCCAACTTGTTGCTTTTCGCTTGCATATCTTCCAGTTTGTGGGAAATCAGACATATATCATCGGCGAAGTCCAGATCCTCCAAGTTCTTTGTGTGGGTCCACCGACATCAACAGGCATCACCATTAACAGGGGGAAATTTGAAAGAGTTCAGTTCCTCCACATACCTAGGAAACATCGTTTCAACTACAAGCGTCCACACCGATGAGGTTATCAAAGTCAGAATCGGAAAGACACGACACACCTTCATCACCGTGAAATTCGTTTGGAAATCTTCTCCACTCAACATAAGGAAAACAATTCGGATTTGCAACACCAATGTGAAGTCAGTCACTCACTTATTCTATATGGGTGAGAAACGTGCAGTGTGTGCCAGTGAAGGTGGCACATCTGTTGATAAAAGTCTGCAGTGGCCTTTTCGAAATGCTTTTCTTGGCGCACACTCCAATTTTCTCATCCATGTAGAAGAAGTGAGTGACTGATTTCACATTAGCGTTGAAACTTCGAATTGTGTTCCTGATGCTGAGTGCAGAATATTTCAAAACTAATTTCACGGTGGTGAAGGTGTGTCTTGTCTTTCCGAGTCTGGTTTTGATAATCTCATCGGTGTGGATGCCAGTAACCGAAAAGATGTTTTCTAGGTAAGTGAAGGAAGTGATCTCTGTTATATTTCTCCCTGTCGGTGGTGGTCGGTGGGTATCTTCATCAACTCCGTCTTCTCTACGTTCAATTTCAGTCCTGTCTTCGCCACCTGCCTGCCTATCTCATCTGCCAGTTTGTTGGTCTTCGCCTGCCTGCAAGTCTTCCAGTTTGTGTGTGTGTGTGGCATCAGACAAAAATCATTCACATGTGAAATTTTTAGATCTTCTAAAATCTTCTCATTGTTGGTCTAACGTAATCCTGTCTTCACGTTCCTGACCACAGTCTACCGAAATGACTGTCTGGTTTTATTAAGTAAATACATAAATAGAAGGCATGATGTATACATTTGTCACGTATTCTACAACTTAATTAATCCGCATAATTCTATACTAGTTAATCACCGACAGGGTCTCAGATAACACATACTCACCAAGTTATCTATCTATCTCTGACCTTAAGACTTCTAATCTACATCTTCACAATATTCTTAAGGTTATTAAGATTAGCACTAAAGTTATCTTTCGATATTCAGGTCATTAACTAATAAATACCCTGTAGAACTCAGTGTGACACGTAAACTGAATTTAATATATTTCATTAAAACCTTGTAACACCTCTTTATATAAAACATATTGTCATGTCTACATAACTACAGAAGAGGTCGTGTGCATTAGTGGTTCAGCAGTAGAAACGCTCCGCCAACCATGCAACATGTGATCCGGGATTCCATCCCCTGCTGGCGAACTCCTAAGCCTCACTAAGTCGGTAGTGAGGCCAGTGAAGAAAGAAGATTGAGCGTGTGAGACAATCAGTCCCACCTCGTAAAAGGAAAGACAAAACCCACTTCTACGGAAATTTCAAAACTCTGGCTTGAAGTCCTATGATGTTCCACTCGGAAGATATAGGAATAAAATCAATAAAATAATAGGAATACAGAAACTGAAGACGGTATTTACAGATGTTTCCCTGATTATGAAACTATAAATAGAGTGCACAGTATATTATATATACATATATATGTATATATATATATACATTCGACTTCGAGAAGGCCTTCGACACCGTTGACCGGGAAGTAATTTGGAAAGGAAACCACTTCAACACTACGGCTTGCAGTGACAAAGTCTTTATCAAACTCACTCAACAACTGGCTATATGACAGTGGCACGTGTCAGATGGTTCACAACGGGAATCTCAGCGAGGCATTCGAAGTGAACCCAGGAGTAATACAGGACTTCCCACTAATATAACCGATGACATTCTTAATTGTGGTGGACTGGATTATGCGTCAGACTGTGGGAAGCGGGAAGTCAGGAGTACGCTGGATCACCGATGAGAAGACTCTAGAAGATCTGGATTTCGCACATGATACATATATATATATATGATGTCACGGAAACTCGAAGACTTACAGGCGAGAACCAACAAACTGGCTGAAGAAGCAGCGAAGACAGGACTCCAGGTGAACACAGAGAAGACGGAGGTGATGAAAATAACCAACCAACCAACCAACCAACAGCAATAACAACCAGTACTAAACACCATCAATGAGACAGATTTAACAGAGTTCGCCTCCTTCACTTATCCAGCCAGGAAGCATCGTTTCAACTACAGGCGGAACGGATGAAGGTGTGAGAGATAGCCAGTCAGAATCGGAAAGGCAAGATACACCTTCATCAAACTGAAATCAGTTTGGAAATCTTCTGCTTCACTCAGCCAGCATAAACAACGAGATTCGGATTTTCAACACCAATGTCAAGTCAGTCAGTTATTCTATTCGGGTCAGAAACTTGCACAGCGCACGTGTCACGAAGAGGATTTCCAACAGCCATCTGCAGACTTTCATCAATAGCTGCCATTTTCACCCGCTCCATACTGTTGATCAAATGGCAGGCCAAAAAGAATCAGCAACAATAGACTCTGCAGTGGAACAAACCAACCAACCAAGAGTTGATTGCTCAACAAATATATAGGAGAAAATGGAGATGGATGGATCGGGCATACGCTGAAGAGACCGTCGAGTTACATCGCGCACCAGGTCGCCGCTGGAGTGGAATCCAAATGGGAAGTGACGAGTCGGTCGTCGGTGTGAGGGTGACATGGAGGAGATCGTGTGGCGAAGAGGAGATGAGGGATTGTGGGTGATCGTGGTTCAAGCTGGAGAGGACGGCAGAAGATAGGACAAAGTGGAGATGTGTTGTTGAAGCCGTATGATGTTCCATTAGGAACTCAAGGGAATAATATATATATATATGGACCCGGAAAGCTTAGTGTTATTTGAACTATACTTCACATGAATGAGGTTATCAGCAATATACCTTTCACAGGTTTCTTTGTGGATTCCACCCCTTCCCCTCTCCTGAAACTGGTAATTTTCTCAGCAGACCCCTCATACATCAATAATATTGGAAGTGTGGACTTCGAAACGAGTCGAGTGGGAGGCACAATAGTCAAATCACACAAAAAGTATCATGGAGTAATTAATTACATATTCAGAATATAGGATTAGTTTGGGACTCTTCATCAATACGAACCCACCCACCCCACATTGGGTTTGGAATCCAGGACAATCGAGTTACAAGGCCAAGGTCATTAACCAAACCGGGTAGGGTTCAGCTATGTATTTACTTTTAGATTACGCCTACAACGCAGACCTTTATCAACAACTGTCTTCGCTCCATACTGAAGATCAGATGACCGGAAGCAATCACCAACAAGAAACTATGGGAACAAACAAAACAAGAACCAATCGACCAAAAAATATGCAGGAGAAAGTGGAGATGGGTTGAACACTCGCTGAGGAGGCCGCTGGGTGACATCGCGCGTCAGTCCAATGCTCGAGTGGAACCCGAAAAGGGAAGCGGCGAGTAGTGGGACGTCAGTGCAAGGGTGACATGGAGGAGATCGTGTGAAGAGGAACTGAAACACTATGGATTAACATGGATGCAAGTGAAAAGTACAGCAGAAGACAGAAACAAGTGAAGACGTGCAGTTGAAGCCCTATGTTCCACTAGAAGCCCAAGGGAACAATAATAACAATAATAATAATTATACGCCTACAACGAGCATGTGAATGAGTACATGCACATAGAGGTGTACATAAGTGGTAATTTATCCTTGACGCATTGTCGAATCATATTTTGGCTGGTAAATACTAAATATAAGTCAGATGCACAAAAACACCGTTATCATCATCGTACTCTTTAGTTCTTAGGCAACACTTGACCTACAATTTAAAATCTCTATTTTCTATAGTTTGCTTTGCAAGGGTTAGTTTTGTTTTTA